ATATCACATCCGAATCATAGACATGACGAGGGCCGACGGGGGCGGATACCAAAACCATCGCACTATATAAGATGCAATAATAAATGTAAGAAAATGATACAAGTATCTATCTAAACATACAAGTAAGAATATTTTTTCTTTCAGAAAGAAGATAAGAACAAGAGGCTCACCACGGTGGTGTCGGTGATGAGATCGGCGCGGGTGATCGACGGCGGTGAAGACGGGGACGGTGCGTGACGGACCGCTAAATCTAGACAAATCTTGAGGAAAATGGAGTTTGGAGGTCGAGCTTCGAGAGGAGAAAGCTTAAGTAGTGTGGCTCGGGCATTCCATCGAACACCTCATGTGCATAGGAGGTGAGCTAGAGCACCACAAAGCCCTCTCCCCCTCGGCCAGAAAAAATAGAGCACTGTGCTCTGCTCTAGCTCGAGGGGGTATATATAGGCACCTCATTGGTCCCGGTTGGTGACATGAGCCGGGACTAAAGGGGAGCCTTTGGTCCCGGTTCAAGCCACCAACCGGGACCAATGATGGTGGGCCAGGAGCGAGGCCCATTGGTCCCGGTTCATCCCACCAACCGGGACCAAAAGGTCCAGATAAACCGGGACCAATGGCCCACGTGGCCCGGCCGCCCCCCTGGGCTTATGAACCGGGACCAATGTCCATATTGGTTCCAGTTCTAGACTGAACCGGGACTAATGGGCTGACCCGGCCTGGACCAAAACCCTGTTTTCTACTAGTGAGATATAGACCGCATTCCAAGTTATTGTGAACAACCAATATTTCTGCATCCACGATTTGTGCTAGTTTACTTTTTTTACCCGTCTATTTGTGAGACGTTACTGGTAATACTGCTAAAAGTCACAATGTTTGACCCCTCTAAGTTTGTGAACAATAAGGATCACAATGCAGAAATAGAAGAGTTTTTTTACCCCTCTATGCTGGTTTGTACGCTTATTCTATGGTAATTTTCAACTCTGTTCACTATTATAATATATTCTAACTTTTTTCCTAATTCGGATGTATATAGCGAGTTTTAGTGTGTTTATTGACTCATTTCAGTTCGTATGTAGTCCATACTGAAATATTCAAACCATCTAATATTTGTAAGTGGTGGAAATATTAAATATGAATAGTGTATACAAAGAGTAGCAAAATATTACATCAACCAATGCCTTTTATGGGCCACATAGAAAAAGATGGAAATTAGCCTTTCAGGTTAATTCATAGATTAACCGTGCACCACTTGTTGAACCACTATGCTTTCAGAGGTTTGACGCGCATAATTGTGCATTTGAGCAATTCTTTCAGGGTGAAGGTCCAGCTATTGGAGTTCTCGATAACATTTCTGAAATTTTTGTCATTCCAGGTTACATATTTAGTTTTCAAGCAATGCAACGCAAGGAGACAACAAAATATTTGTCCCTTGAGACAGCAGTACAAACTAACCATACTAAACCTTCATAAAACAATGGAAAACTTGAAATAACATCCCCGGGTGGTTTTGGTATGTCATATTTCTTGTTTTTATATCGAGAGAAAGGAGGGGACACGTAGTGGGAGGGCGAGTGGACGATTTCTGGCCGCAATGCCTGCCTCGGTGCCTTCCTTTGGAGGTGCTCGATTTTCTTCGTTGATTGCATCAGAGGCGGTTCTCTGAGTTTCTCATTGACAAGTTACCTTGCACGCGCAATAGGCATCGACAATAAATTGGCTTTGTGGGACTCACCCTTACTTGGATCCTGACCGGTTTCTTGGTTCTTGCTGTTTTTTTTAACCAAATGAACAACTTGACAGTGTTGTGATACCATCTTGAAGAAGTCTTTACTGCAAAGTTCCAAGAAAAGTTAATGCAACATTGACTGTTCATTGTGTTGTTCACCCACCAATATATTGCGTGGGAGTATGAAAATTCATCAATAAATTTTTGAAGATCCAGAACTAAATTTTCGATACCCCAAGTATCAAGGTGATTTAATGCCTTCATGCAAGCATTACACCCCAAATAAGTGACCCAGGCCCTAAAATTGTAATCTTCCAAAGACAACCGGAGAACTATACCACGTCATGTAAGAGTACATCTAAGGAGAAAACAACGACATGAGCAAAGACGATACGTGGACCGCCGAGACACAACGTGCCTCCTTGACTAAGGATCTATATAAAAACAACTCAATATTGTTACTATACATACGCCATGGAGTGGAAGGTCGTGGCTATCAATAACCTACGCCGCCAAGTCCACGATCGTCTCAAGACGAATAGGAGACCCCAGAGCCATGCGGCAAGATGGTGCTCCTTCCACAAGTCCATGTTCCATTGCACAAATGAATGTCGAAATCAAACCCAACAAGGTCCACCTCTCCTGCTAACAAGATAAAACAGTAATATGTACTAGCAAACTAGCCTCAGAGACACATGCTGACCATCATACCAATGGTTTTTATTATTTAGCCCACTAGCTCAATCGAAGCGAACATATAAATTATGGCCTCATAAATACGTCTTGAGTACAATGCTACAGAAAATATGTGATTTAAACATTAAATTTACCCACCTCCCAGTGACCCTGTATCATTCACTTTTGTACTCACAAAATGATGAGTATTGTATAAATTTGGTATATCAGAAATAAAGTATATCTCAAATTTAGCTCAGATGAACACACCATAAATCCTTCCAGACTATAGTAAAAATACTCAAGACGGAGGTGGGCAGTAGATTAATTTATGCAAGCCACCATATAACAGTCTTCCTCTTCTGCCATTTTTCTTGGCCTTTGTTGGAACAACCCTAGACTAACTCTCGCTCATGCAGCTAGACGGAGGTAGACGAAGCACAGAGGACACAAGGTTTACTGGCGACCAACGCCTGAGCCACGAACCTTTTCTTTTTCTCTAACCACCGTGCAACAAACACTTCTCAACCCAGCCGGCTTTGTAGCCTGGGCAGCAACGCAGGCCCACGTTTCGGCCAAGCACGCATGCACGACTGGCTGCTGCATGCAAGCGCTCCGCTCGGCCACGCGCACAACGCGCACACCGCGCTGCTCGCAACCGACTGCAAACAGTCTAGCTACTACACGGCAACTTATACATGCATGCACGCCCATCTACCTAGCTCACGTGATACATACATACGCACACACACCTACGAACCTGACATGGCCACACACCGCCCATACACACACATACGCCACGCCGCCGCTGCGTCCCGCTCGTCCCGCGCGCACCAACGCGCCCGACGAGCCCGACCGCACCAGTGCATCCCGCACGTTCCGCGCGCATCGGACGCGCCCCGACGAGCCCGACCGCACCAAGCCGTGGTTTATTCCAACACACACCCCTAAGCCACTGCCTAGAGGAGTCCGTCGTCGACGTTGGCACCGGCCAAGAGAGCCTGCTCCGCCACCGGTCCTTTCCGCAGCTGCGGGCATTCGCGCCGGAAGTGCCCGTGCTCCCCGCACTTGTAGCAGCGCCTGCGCCTGTTGCCGCCGCTCCCCGACGCCATGCTGCGCCCGTCGTCGTCGTCCCGAGCACCGCCGTGTCGATGCTCCCGCGCTGCCCACTGCGCCGCCGTCATGAGCAGCTGCTCACCCCCGCGCTCGCCGCCGTCTTGTCCACGGCGCCGAACCCGCTCGTCGAACGCACGCAGCCGCCCGAGCGCTTCGTCGAACGCCATCGTCGTCACGTCGTGGAACTGCTCGATGCCGGCGACGACGGGGAAGAGGCGATCCGGCACCGTATCCAGCAACTTCTTGACAAGTGCTGCGTCGCCCAGCGTCTCCCCGAGGTTGGCATACCTCGCCGCCGTCGCCGCGTGCCTCCCGCCATACACATCGAGCTCCTCGCTGTCCGCCATCTTCATCCGGTCGAATTCGCCGCGTAGCGTCCCCAACCTCGCCGCGCGGACCCGATTAGCGCCGACGAATCTCACCTTCAGGGAGTCCCATACCTCCCTGGCGGTGAGCTTTGTCGACACCTACAGCAGCACATCCTCCGGCAACGCACCGAGGAGCAACACGCGCGCCATCTTGTCCTTCTTGGTGTTCACCGCCGCGTCGCCCGGCGCCACCGTCTCCTATACGGTGTGGACGTCGAGGATCGCCTGCGCCTTGATGGCCCAGACCGTATAGTTGTCCGCGGTCAGCATCGGCATCGCCATCGTTGCCGATCCGCCCGCGCCGCCGCCGGGTGGGACGAGCGCCATGATCGTCGGTGATTGCCCGAACCGAAGCTCTGAATACCAATTGTTGAAACAACTCTAGACTAACTCTCGCTCATGCAGCTGGACGGAGGTAGACGAAGCACAGAGGACACAAGGTTTACTGGCGACCAACGCCTGGGCCACGAACCCTTTCTTTTTCTCTAACCACCATGCAACAAACACTTCTCGACCCAGCCGGCTTTGTAGCCTGGGCAGCAACGCAGCGCCCACGTTTCGGCCAAGCACGCATGCACGACTGGCTGCTGTATGCAAGCGCTCCGCTCGGCCACGCGCACGACGCGCACACCGCGCTGCTCGCAACCGACTGCAAACAGTCTAGCTACTACACGGCAACTTATACATGCATGCACGCCCATCTACCTAGCTCACGTGATACATACATACGCACACACACCTACGAATCTGACATGGCCACACACCGCCCATACACACACATACGCCACGCCGCCGCTGCGTCCTGCTCGTTCCGCGCGCACCGACACGCCCAACGAGGCTGACCGCACCAGTGCATCCCGCACGCACCCGACGCGCCCGACGAGTCTGACCGCACCAAGCCGTGGCTTATTCCAACAACCTTAACTTATTCACTGCTGGACGACGAAAGTGACACCCAAACCCATAACAGTTCAGAAGCAAACACAAACACATTCACGCAAAGAAAAGGTAAAAAGATGAACGGAATATAACTGAAATACTCCCTATCTCATGCTTATTTGTGAATTCATTCACTCCATGCTAGTGAAACTTTGGATGAGAGAGAATTCTATACATCGTCAGGCTTGCACAACTTTGGCGATTCTGTATGTCGCGGCAGAAGCAACTGCACCGATAAAAGTAGTCTGGAGGGCACTGAAGAGGGGGCGGCTTCCAGTGAAGCGGCCCTTGACATAGCCGAAAAAGAAGAGTGCCACAAGTGTGAGCACGACCGATGTGCGCATTGCGTCATGACCAGTGGGAATGAGCATGTAGGGCATGAGTGGGACCAACCCGCCGACAACGTAGGAGAGCGCTATCGTAAGAGCGCTCTGCAGGGCTCTTCTAGGGTATGGCTTCTCAAGTCCCAGCTCAAACCTGAATTTAATAATTATGACCAACTTAATTAAGACAATTAATTTCGAGTGGAAGACGTATCTCATCATGCATGTCGTGTCAAAAAAGACGATGTACCTCATCATAAACTCGAGCCAGGCTTGCGGCTTCCTACGCAGGCCCATCACCACAGGGCCATACTCGTGGGGTTCGAGTCCATACTACGACATGATCTCTCCGATCTCAGCAGCCTCTGGGATATGGTTAATAATTTTAATGAGGAAATTCCGAACCCAATGATTCGAATTTTGTAACGCGCATGTAAATATGTACATATGTAGGTGCATGCACTTTTCCATGAACTAACTAATCTACGAAAAAACATGTCTAATCTTTTTCATCATAAAAGACATGCTCAAATTACCGATTTCAGGGACCGCGATGATCTCCTCTTGCTCCCTTCTTAACTCCAGCTCATAATGGTCTGCTTCGCTCTTAGCCGCCAGGTACCTATACGACAATGTATCCCAGAGATGCAAATAGATGATGAGAGGTTAAGCCAAATCAATAATCTTGAATGCGCATCTCATTCTAGAAGGTCTCCAACTATCTTCTTCAAGGAAAAATGCAGTGGAAAACCCGACAATATAAATATATGTATAAATCTAAATTGTGATCATTCAAGATGTGAACGAAACAATGAGATTGTACATCAACTCTCTTATCCAATTGAACTAGGTTCATTTCCAGATGCTCTCCAATCTACCCCTAATATGGGAAAATATATATTTAGTTTTAACCACTCAATGAACATACCCATGTACCTGAGAGATGAAATG